TAGACCAATATCAATAATATCCAGTGTAGCAGAGGTTTTTGAAAAAGTTTTATCTACTAGAATGATTCGATACCTCACAAAATTCAAAATTTTAAGTGAAAATCAATATGGATTTACAGAAGGGAAGGCTACATCGGAGGCAATAACTAAAATTGTAAATCAAATACATCAAAATATTGATAACAGAATCCCTTCAATCTGCATTTTTGTTGATTTAAAGGAAGCTTTCGACACAGTTAATCACAAATTATTATTAGAAGCATTGGAGAGAATTGGTTTCAGAGGAAACGCGTACTAACTGATCGAAAGTTATTTGTCAAATCGCCCACAATCTGTGCAGATATCAGGATCATTTAGTAAAGAAATGTATATTAAGTGTGGTGTCCCACAAGGAACTGTCTTAGGTCCGCTGTTATTCAATATATATTTAAATGATATTTTCCAAATTAATTGTGTTGGCAAAATAACTAGTTTTGCAGATAATACTGCAATATTATATGAAGGCACTGACTGGTCTGATCTGAAAAATGTAATTGAAAATGATTTTATCAAAATTATTCAGTGGTTTAACAGTAGAAAATTAAGCATTAACTACTCTAAAACACATTTTTTACCATTTGGATCTTATGCTAGACATCTGCCAAATTACACAAATTTTTCCTTCAATATTAATGATCAAAAAATGCAAATTAATAGAGTGCCCAACATAAAATACCTTGGAGTGGTCTTGGATCCTCACTTACGATGGGACATCCATGTCAATTATATTTTAAAGAAAGTTAGATTTGTATTCTACAAAATTAAATACCTTGGGAATATATTGACAGAAAAATATCTTCGAACATTATACCATGCACTGATTGAGCCTCATCTCACATATGGTATATTAGCATGGGGAGCTGCATGTTCCTCACATATCTATAATTTAGATGTTTTTCAAAAAAGTATTCTAAAAATGATATTTAAAAAACCGAAACTTTATCCCACTGAAAAATTATAGGCAGATGTTCGAATGTATGATATAAGACAGCTTTATTTCTTACACAGTATCACTCACTACCATAAATTTGTAAACACCGACCAAAAAATTAAACATAATCATTATACCAGGTACAAAATTCGTGGCACAGTAGTTCCTCAACCGCATAAATCTATAATGCAGCGATCATATCTCTATTTAGCGCCTAAATTTTATGAAATTATACCTAAAGACTTAAATGATTTACGTTTCGGAAATTGTTTCAAAAGAAATTTAAAAAAGTGGCTACATTCTATATCTAGGACTGAAATTCATAAATGTACAGGCGATGCCTTCTATTGGGCCTGTTTTGATTTTATATTTATTTACTCATATTGTTTGTTATCTTTGTACATTGAGTGAATAAATATTATTATTATTATTAGTTTTATTTAAGCTTTAAATCAATAAATCTTCAAAACTGCTGAACTAAAGTACATTAATTTTATATGATTATAAAGGGAATTGAAAGACCTTTAAAATAAGGTATCACTCGACCCCTCTTTCCATTTAAGATTTTGGGGGTGGTGTCACCACCGCTTAGGGGGCTGCACGTGCTAAGGTGATTTTTTGTCAAACTTGTGTCCCCCTAGAAAACAAAATCGACGGGTCTGAGCGTTTTTCCCAAAAAAAAAACTGAGCTGCCTGTAAATGCGTCTGTTTCGTTTTAGATGCGCCACCCTGTATAAACTTTTCTAGCTAAGGAATCATATCCATCGATTAAATAACTCCCTGTATGCAGTAATCCTTCCAAAATACTGTATAATATCTAAACGACTCTCTTAATTACCAGGCAAAGATGAGTCACAGCACTTCAGACATGTAGTTAGAGACCGCATGCATTCGGTTTCCAATTAGTTATCGGGATCTCGTGGAATATGTCAGACCGTATCAGAACCGACGCTAATTGCATAAAGATAAACCAGTTCGTTTCACCCTCTCTTCAATTATAACGCGGAAAAGTAATCAACAGATCGCACATTCCGATAAGACCGTCTGCTTAAATCAAATCGATAAGTCGCAAATGAAAGTGCCATATCCGAATACCGCAGTTGTCATCGTCAGCGATGAAGATCGGACGAGTAGACGACAAGAGGACGAGAAACCTCTAATTGCATATTGGAGGAATTTTTTCAATGTTTGGAGTATAATTTGATACCGCCACGATGTTTGTTTTTAATAAACTTCATAATTGAAATAAGGTTGAACTAAATAACGCTTTCACTTTCAAGGTCACACGACATAAAACTGAATGTTTATCTTTACGTACTGAAAGGCAGATAAATTTTGTATTTGGGACTAACGATTTTAAAACTAAATCATTTTCAAACGCAATTACTTCCATTTCTGTCGCAGCAATGTCTTCGTTAAAAAAAAAGTTGCAAACTGTTGGACATCAATTTCCATGAAGGCTGAACCAACAAATTGCGACACTGTAGCAATTTCGTTGAAATTATCCTTCAAGTTTGAGGCTATTTCAACATGATATATACTGCCATATGGTTCTAATGGACTTTGAGATACCTTTTCTGAAAGAACAGAAAAGTGCCTGACAAAGTTTTTGTTCCCAAAACTAACCTAACCAACCTAACATAGTTCTTGTTTTTGTCTTCCACATACGCGATATTTCGATTTCGAGGTCTTCATATTTCCTGGTGTTTTCCGATGCTTTGATGATGACGTTGTTGTTGTCTGACACATATTAGGCACAATTAGCAAGCATGTCTTAGTATTATTATGGTGTTGAGGTTTCCTACATTTCTGCTTGTATACTAAGTAACATATAAATCCGAACACCCAGTTTGAATGGTTTTATTTTAATAAAATTTTGTATAAGTACTTAATGAAGCATAATAAGTAAATGATAAAAATTTCAAAATGATTGCACTGCTTTAAAGCTCGTTGACCTTTAATAATGTGTGGATGCACCCTGATTCGCATTCTCCAACGCGCCTAGGCATGCTTCTGATCAGGTGGTCAATGTCCTCCTGTGGTATCTCATTCCAGGCAACCACCAACTCCTCTCGAAGTGCTTCTAGAGTCTGAGGAGGACGTTGCAAGTTGAGCAATCTCCTACCCATCATATCCCACACGTGCTCAATTGGGGATAAGTCGGGAGATCTTGGTGGCCATGGCAACAATGTGACATCATTATGTTGAAAGAAGTCTATTGTGACTCTTGCAACATGTGGTCGGGCATTATCTTGTTGGAAAGTTGGATCTGCCAGGGTGTCAAGATAGGGTAAAAGATGGGGTTCTAGAACTTCGTGGATATAACGCTGCCCGTTCATGTGACCTCTGATGAAGATTAAAGGTGACCTGGAACCATAAGCTATAGCACCCCAAACCATAACTCCAACAGTGTGATGAACATGTCTTTCAACAAAAAACTGTGGATTCCTCCTTTCACCACGTCGCCTTCTAACCCTGGCACGACCATCGTGCATGCCTAAAAAAATCGAAACTCGTCACTAAAGACAATACTGTTCCATTCCTGATCCCAGAGTGACCGTTGTCTGCACTCAAGGCGATTACGTCGGTGTTCTCGAGTTAAAGGGAGGACCCAGTGTGGCCGGTATGAAAACAAGCCAAAACTTCTCATTCGTCGGTAATCACTTCGCATGCTAATAGGTCTTCCGTGTTCTGCAAACCATTCATTTGCAATGGACCTGGTAGTGGAGAAACGGTCCCTTAAGGCCAATAATCTTAGGTGGCGATCTTCACGGTCTGTTGTTCTACGGCGGCGTCCAGTTTCCCTTGCTCTTTGCGTACGGCCTTCTCGAAGCCATGCCTGACAACACCTAACCACAGTGTCTACACTTCTTTGCATTCTAACTGCAATTGCCCGAAAAGAAAGTCCAGCTTCCCGAAGTCCCACTATACGGCCTCTATCAAACTCACTAAGTTGACGAAATCGTACAGGTCTCCGTACTCTAGGCATCGTAACCGATCGTAAAGGATGGCTAGAACCAAAATCCGCCAACGTTGATTCTTTACTGCGGCTGAAATATTCATTTTTAGAGCGTTAGTGAATTAAAAAAAGCAGTATAAAAACCGGAATGTCCAACTGATAAGGCTGAAAATTTTTTCACTTGTTATTTACAGTAAGATAAATACATTCACCAACTTTTATTAAAATAAAACCATTTAAACTGGGTGTTCGGATTTATATGTCACTTAGTATATATCGTGTCCTGGCAGCATTACGATGAATGCTATTCACTTTAGTACACCTTAACAGACGACTCATTGAATAATTTTAAGACGAAAAGTTCATGTATACATACTCCGCAAATTCTTCGTTCTCATGATACAGGGTGTTAAAATTAAAAATAAATGTCTTTTTGTAAATGTCTTAAATATACTCGTAGTTTAACTAATTTTGTTGCAATTTGACGGTAATATTCATAATATTAAGGAGCTAACTCAGCCCTAACCTAGCTAAATTTTTTAAGTTCAGTAGCATCTCAAGCGGGATCTGAACGAATATTTGTATCTAAAAAATTGTACGCCATTGAATTTTGTGTAATTTCTTGATAAAACTAGCTCCTTAATCTTTTAAATATTACCGCCAAATTACAACAAAATCGACTGAGAGATATTTAAGATATGTACGAAAAATCATTTTTGTTTTAAATCTTAACACCCTGTACCTTGAGAACAAAGAATTTTCGGACATATGCTTTTAAACTTTTTGTCTTAAAATTGGTCAAAAAATCGTCTGTTGAATGTATGGTGCATAATTAACAGCCTGTATAGTAAACCTTCGCGCAACATACGGGTGCTTTCAAAGTTGAGTAATTTATTGTAATTGCTTGTAAGACTTGTCAAAAGAAGTTGATACACATATACTAGAAATCACCTATATAAAAGTTATTATTATATCAAATCTAGACTAACGTTAGCTACAGCACGATATCTGGAAAAGGCTGCATTACGTAGCGATCTCCCAGAATAGCAATATTACAATACCATGACTCACCATCACTTCCTAGATCCCTATACGCCGTGAAGTTAGCGAGAAAGAGCGTTTTCGATCCTTTGGATTCCGAGAAGAATCTCACGTACATCTTATTGCTCTTTGACAAGACGGTATCGGCGATCGATCCGCAGAACTCCTTTTCGATCGAAGCCATATCCGTCTTCCCCGAAAATACCTGGACGAAGTTGCTGTGGCAGTCGTTCGGCTTCTCCAAGTTGAATTCCGCGAACTGCAGGTATATCTGAAGAAATAGAGCAGTCATAGTTGAGTGGATACGTACTGAACATACTAAGGGCCGTATCGTCAGTCGTCCCACAATTGTTTGACGCTGTTATGGCCTCATTGATTTTCATAGTTTTCTACTGTCCCGTGTCAGCGCTATACTTTGAGGTTATGTTACAAATATCTATTTGCATCTAATTATTGGTTTTTGATTTATATCATCTGTTTATCAGACTGAAAGGAGCCCAACTAGCAAAGTAGTGCTATCAGCTTTTGGTAAAAGAACCGTTCACCATAAAAGCTCTCTAATGTTGTTTGGAATGCAGATTTGCTTTCTGCAACATATTTGCTCTAAAATGAAGTGTTTAAAATATTCTTATAGCATAGTTATACAACACCTTATAGGGCAAATTTTTATTCATATTTTATGTACTCTATATTTATACTTCTGAGTGTTTTTAGTATGCTTCTGTACTATTGTTATGAATTTTAGATTTGTAATTTAGGATTTGTGACGACAAGATTCAGACATTTACCCTTTTACAGAATTTTCAAAATTCATATACCGTTACTTGCTGGTTCTAGATCTGATGCTACTATCTTTCCTTAGATTTCTGTTGCAATCTTGGTTATTTAGGGTAGCAAGAGCATACAAGCTCATGTATTTCTGAAACTGTTTTTTATTTAAATTGTACTGAAGTTTGTTTTTAATTTGTAAGTTATATTGGTTTTTGAATTTGAATAAACTTTGATTGATTGATTGATTGATTGTGATATTAGCGCGTCCCGAAAAATATCCCCTACTTTTCATAGAAGAAAAATGATAAAGGATCTAATTCCCTACAAAATTGTTTCAATCCCCTTTTTTAAGGGATGGTTTTCACGATTGTTGATCAAACGTTTTTAGGAAGCAATAATCTATCGATACCACCAAAAAAATGTACCGTAGCACAAAAAAATTGCCTATTATCCGGCCTACAATAAAATGGTGATTCATCAAGTTCGTGGTAAGAAAAACCATTTGTGTCACTCAAGTGTAAGAAGTATATAATGATCAAGACTCACCCTCCAGTTGGGTCTGACAACGATTAACCATAGGCAATCTATCGGCATGTCGTGCTGTATATAGAAGTCCATAATGTCTTGCTGGATGTCGACCTTTCCCAGCTCTCCCTCTTCCATCAACGTGCGATTCATTACGCATGGGACGATTTCGGGACTTTTTACTGGAACGAATAGTAATGAGGACTGTATAAAAAAGAATGTTACCAATTTGATAGGAAAGGCTGCTTCAGAAACTAACGATAGTTAAAAGTAATGATCTACTGTGACTATTCGTCTAACGACCGACAGTGGCTGGCTATTGTCAGTGAAATAAAATGTCACAAAATTATATATATACAGGGTGTCCCAGAAGTCGACGTCAAGCCGAAACCGGGTAATAGGCAAAGTCATAACAGCTATCAGAAAAATATTTAAAAAAATTTTATGTATGTGTTTTGAAAATTATAGGTCTTTGAAAAAGATATAGAAATTTCACACCCTACGGCAGTCTGTCAACTCCTGTTACTACAAATATTAACTTTTTTTGGATTTTATTTTTACAATGTAATGATGAATGATGCATCTTCAAACTGGTGTCTCAACCTTACTGCCAACTTTTCTCGTTCAGGAAAAATTGCCACTTATTTCTCAACCAAGTATTCCAAAGTAAAACTTTGCTCAACTTTAACTGGCTGTACTGGAAAAAAATGTACTACGAGAGTTTGGCAAGTAACCTTAAAAGTTGGCGCATTTAATAAGGATTCCAAAATGGTATACAACTTAGAAGATTACTCGTTAACTTATGCACAATTTTTATTTGAAGAAATTTTTTTTCAAAATTTCCTAATTAAACAGCGATTATGAAAACGCACAAGGACCCTTAAGGATAACTGTTTGCACAACAGTAGGCGTCAAAATGCTGATTTACCTTTACAGCAAATGCTCAAACTGTTTTTCTTCAGCCGCAATACACGCTCGACATCTTCTTAAAAAAGATCGGGTTATTAAACGAGCGAATCCACGGTTATTAACAAACTCAGCTGCTTCCAATAGTCTTTGCCGTAGTTCAGCTACATTTTGAATCGGCTTGAAATACACTTTTTCTTTTACAGTTCCCCAGTAAAAAAAATCTAACGGATTCAAATCTGGTGACCCGGCTGGCCACGGTATTGTACCAGACCGCCCTATCCATCTGCCTGGAAAGTTTTGAGATACTCTCTCACTGAGAGTGCATAGTGCGCTGGGCAACCATCATACTGAAATCACATGTCCCTGTAAATACTCAGTGGCACGTCCTCCAATAAATTTTCTAAATGATTTTGCAAAAAAGCGATATTGAGATTTATCTTCTCTCATCAAATGTGGGTTTGCTACGTGCCACTCGTGTAAGTTATGCAGGTTCATGTACCCATCTTTCTTAAATGTGGTCTCATCTGACCATAAAATTTTTCCAAAGAACCGTGGATCTTCCCTGTGTCTTTCTAACACTTTGCGACAAAAAGCAACTCGGGGCTCATAATCCCGGGGCAGAAGAGCTTGAACACGCTGTACGTGGTATGGATGCAGCACGTTTTTTTGCAAGATTCTATGGGCTGTACTTTTGGGCACACCTGGTTTCAGTTCTATTGCACGCACTGAAGTACTCGGGTCTTCTTCGACAGCTCCTAGCACCACGTCTTCGTATGAAAGGAAATATCTTAACTTACCGTGTGATTGGTTTGGCAGTTGGCCCTCTGAGAACAGTAAGCGGTGCACATTTGTAATCACTCGATGATCTGGATACGAGCTGCATTCGGGTACCTCTCACAGTAAAGTCTCGCTGCAGCACTAGCGTTGCCTCTGCATTACCCATAAATGAGGTGCATGTTAGCATATTCTTGTACGGTGTACACGGACATAGCGGCACTGCACAATCACGCTATCAAAGATAGTCTAAGGAAAGCAAATGTTGTTTTGAAGAGCAATTAAACAGTCCAAATCCAAATCACAAGCGATCAACAGTCCAGTTCACGAATCCAAAATTAGTAACAGTACGAAATCAACAAGCACGAACATGTAAAGATGCGCAGTAAACGAAGGAGTACTGATGGGTATCAAAGGGTGCAATAGCAAATAAGTGATGTGCTTCATCTATACCACATACAACGAGTTCAACCTCTCCTGCCCCGGGATTATGAGCCCCGAGTTGCTTTTTGTCGCACAATGTTAGAAAGACACAGGAAAGATCCACAGTTCTTTGAAAAAAATTTATGGTCGGATGAGACCACATTTAAGAAAGATGGTACATGAACCTGCATAACTTACACGAGTGGCACGTAGCAAACCCACATTTGATGAGAGAAGATAAATCTCAATATCGCTTCAAGATAAACCATTGGACAGAAATTTTAAATGGTAAAATAATCGGTCTGGTTGAGTTCCCGGAGACTTTGACTGCTGAGGTTTATTTAGGATTTTTGCAAAATCATTTAGAAAATTTATTGGAGGACGTGCCACTGAGTATTTACAGGGACATGTGGTTTCAGCATGATGGCTGCCCAGCGCACTATGCACTCTCGGTGAGAGAGTATCTCGATCAAAACTTTCCAGGCAGATGGATAAGGCGGTCTGGTACAATACTGTGGCCAGCCCGATCACCTGATTTGAATCCTTTAGATTTTTTTACTGGGGAACTGTAAAAGAAAAAGCGTATTTCAAGCCGATTCAAAATGTAGCTGAGCTACGGCAAAGACTATTGGAAGCAGCTGAGTTTGTTAATAACCGTGGATACGCTCGTTTAATAACCCGATCTTTTTTAAGAAGATGTCGAGCGGATATTGCGGCTGAAGGAAAACAGTTTGAGCATTTGCTGTAAAGGTAAATCATCATGAACAGCATTTTGACGCCCACTGTTGTGCAAACAGTTATCCTTAAGGGTCCTTGTGCGTTTTCATAATCGCTGTTTAATTAGGAAATTTTGAAAAATTTTCATCAGTTTTTCTTCTAATAAAAATTGTGCAAAAGTTAACGAGTAATCTTCTAAGTGTTATACCATTTTGGAATCGTTATTAAATGTGCCAACTTTTAAGGTTACTTGCCAAACTCTCGTAGTATATTTTTTCCAGTACAGCCAGTTAAAGTTGAGCAAAGTTTTACTTTGGAATACTTGGTTGGGAAATAAGTGGCAATTTTTCCTGAACGAGAAAAGTTGGCAGTAAGGTTGAGACACCAATTTGAAGATGCATTATTCATCATTACATTGTAAAAATAAAATCCAAAAAAAGTTAATATTTGTAGTAACAGGAGTTGACAGACTGCCGTAGGGTGTGAAATTTCTATATCTTTTTCAAAGACCTATAATTTTCAAAACACATACATAAAATTTTTTTAAATATTTTTCTGATAGCTGTTATGACTTTGCCTATCACCCGGTTTTGGCTTGACGTCGATTTCTGGGACACCCTGTATATATATATATATATATAGAATACAGAATATAAAACATATTCTTTTCCAAACTGCAAAAAGTACAACATTTCTTGTAATAAGGTACCAAGAAAATTCGAACTTCGGTTCTGTCATGAAATCATAGTACCTGAATGAAAAACGTAGTTTCAGGATTTACACGAAACTTCAGATTTCTCGGAATAAAGTGAGTAGGGCTTAGCTCCATTGTTACCGTCATCCCTTAAAGTTTGAATTCACTAAAAACTTCATCCACCCCATAGAGACGTACATCTATTCAACCTCATTGTACGCAAGGGCGATAACAGTTTTTTTTTTTGGTTGACATGCCTAGAAAAAAGTGAGTTATGATCCGTCTGGCGGCGCCATACTGACGCTGACTTCACGGCGCTCGCTGCTGCGTATTGTCGCAATTACATCGGATGGAAGACTTAATTGCATGGAAATATCGGCCTATAATTATTATATGTTCCATGTTACGATATGTGAGGTACCTATCTATCTCGATCATCGTACGGTTGCATGCACAACTGGTGCCGAGCGTTTTTATCTTGGGAGGGCATAGCAACATTGTTAACGGCCAGACTTCCCTCATTTATAACTGTCTGTCCAACATAGGTCAGCGATTATGAAATTTGAATAGTAGTTACTTTGACAGGTAGCTGGTAGCAAATGTATATAAAATAGTACCTTAAATTCGTAAAAGTATAAAGCCGAGTTTTTTTATATACTAAGTGACATATAAATCCGAACACCCAGTTTAAATGGTTTTATTTTAATAAAATTTTGTATAAGTACTTAATGAAGCATAATAAGTAAGTGATAAAAATTTCAAAATGATTGCACTGCTTTAAAGCCCTTTGACCTTTAATAATGTGTGGATGCACCCTGATGTGCTACGCATTCTCCAACGCGCCTAGGCATGCTGCTGATCAGGTGGTCAATGTCCTCCTGTGGTATCTCATTCCAGGCAACCACCAACTCCTCTCGAAGTGCTTCTAGAGTCTGAGGAGGACGTTGCAAATTGAGCAATCTCCTACCCATCATATCCCACACGAGCTCAATTGGGGAAAAGTCGGGAGATCTTGGTGGCCATGGTAACAATGTGACATCGTTATGTTGAAAGAAGTCTATTGTGACTCTTGCAACATGTGGTCGGGCATTATCTTGTTGGAAAGTTGGATCTGCCAGGGTGTCAAGATAGGGTAAAAGATGGGGTTCTAGAACTTCGTGGATATAACGCTGCGCGTTCATGTTACCTCTGATGAAGGTGACCTGGAACCATAAGCTATAGCACCCCAAACCATAACTCCAACAGTGTGATGAACATGTCTTTCAACAAAAAACTGTGGATTCTTCCTTTCACCACGTCGCCTTCTAACCCTGGCACGACCATCGTGCATGCCTAAACAAAATCGAGACTCGTCACTAAAGACAATACTGTTCCATTCCTGATCCCAGAGTGACCGTTGTCTGCACCACTCAAGGCGATTACGTCGGTGTTCTCGAGTTAAAGGGAGGACCCAGTGTGGCCGGTATGAAAACAAGCCAAAACTTCTCATTCGTCGGTAAACACTTCGCATGTCAATAGGTTTTCCGTGTTCTGCAAACCATTCATTTGCAATGGACCTGGTAGTGGAGAAACGGTCCCTTAAGGCCAATAATCTTAGGCGGCGATCTTCACGGTCTGTTGTTCTACGGCGGCGTCCAGTGCCCCTTGCTCTTTGCGTACGGCCTTCTCGAAGCCATGCCTGACAACACCTAACCACAGTGTCTACACTTCTTTGCACTTTAACTGCAATTGCCCGAAAAGAAAGTCCAGCTTCCCGAAGTCCCACTATACGGCCCCTATCAAACTCGCTAAGTTGAC